CCTTTATTAGATCTGTGGGAAGGAAAGGAACGCTGTGTGTTCTGCTGGGATTGGACATTTACTGGCTTTCAGGACTAAGTGGCTATTATTTTTGTGTTTAAGCAGAGGGGTCTAGACATGTCATTTTTAAGGTTGTAAAAATCCAAGGAAATGAAAAATGTTAAAAATAATCAGCTGTTGGTGTCTTATTAGCAGCCACGTTTGACCACCGAAATATAAGAATTTTTTACTATATAATATAAGCATATTAGCTGCAACACAGTGATCTAATCACAGGACGTGCCTTAGAATTACCTTCTTTTCTTCTTCATCCACCTTTCTCTCTTTGTCTTTCTTCTTTTCTTTTTCTCGCTCTCTCTCTCTGTGCTTCTTTTCCTTCTTTTTGGGTTTCTTACTCTTTTTCTCTACTAAGGGAGCTTCTGTGTCTGGAGACTTGAGGTTCTCAGTATTTCTGTGTTTTTGCACTGGCAGCTTCTCACTATCTGCTAAGGGTCTTAAAAATGCATGATGAGTTACCTTCAATGAAGACTGTTTCCCAGCTGCCCACAGCACTTGCTGGATTCCCAGACAAGTTTGTGTTTGTAAAGATCAGATGATAGCTTCTCCTTAGAATGGAACTAGTCTCAACCCACGCAAACACTTTAGTATCCCAGGAGCGGCTCAGTTTTGCAGCCAGACACTGCCCCCATGCATCAGAAGTTAAATGAAAACATTCTGCAGGCAACTGTGAGCTGTGATCCCTCTGGCACTCACCCATCAATTGATAATGACGCACTTGCAGATTAAGTAACGCTTACAGAAAACACACACGTATACTCCCTGCACTCTTGCAAACCTATGAAGTAATCCTTGAGGATAGGTGTAAAACAGGAGGAAACATTTGCAATAATAAATGTCACAAGCCAAGCAACATGATGTAACTTTTGAGGTGACAGCTTGTCTTAAATCCTTGAACAAGAATTCTTTCTTAATCTTGCCCCTGGATAGGACCATTCCAAGTTTAATAGATTTTAAGATTTCTTAGCATAGATATTGAGTTTCTATGCTTCATGTTGGAAGGCTGTGCTGAGTCAATAGCCCAGCACTCCATTAAAATGAGTTTCTACTCTACATCAGCGTACCCCAATTTTAAAAAAAGTACTTAATAATGTAGCAATAAATACCATGCTGGCAACCCCTACTTAGACATAAGCAGCATAGAAACAAACATCCATCATCTTTCCCCACTGCTGGCAAACTGGGGTGCCAGAAAGTAAAGAGAGACAAAGTCCGTTAACTGTTACTTTCAGATGAGTTTCTGTTCAAATGCTGATTCTCACGTTTGAGCAGGCATCATCAGTTCATGAAGACACTTATTGTTCTCATTCAGTTCAGTTTTTTGCTTAAACAGTATGAAGAACTGGACTTGATCCAACTTTACTTCAAAAAACAGACACTGTAAAACCAACAGGATCATACTGGTTTCATCATATGGCAAATCTCCATTTTAGATTTGTTTTATGTGCACCTGAGAGGTGATAGGGGTCAAGGCTCAAAGCAAGCCAGTAAGGATGAAGGAATCTTGCTCATAACTGGATTCATTGGTTTTTAATATATCCATGATCCTGCACACTTTTACACTGTCCCCGCTAAAAAAACCAAAAAAACCAACCAACCTTAGAAAGAAGGCCAACTACTTAATGATATTCTTACCTGGAAGGCTTCCCTGAAACCAGACTGTATGTGTGTGAGTGACACAGACATAGCAGTGCAAGCAGAGAGAGAAAGAGAGAGAAAGGATAGAGATATGAGAAACATGACTGGAGAGTGCAATGACTGTGGAAAGGGGAAGAGCATGGACAGAAGTGTGAAAGTCCAGGGACACCTCCTGGAATACTACTGCATTAAGGCAAGGGTGTAGTGTTTTCTACACTGGTGTGTTTAGCTCAAACAGGACATCTGTTAGGAATTCACTTCCTCTTTGCACTCTTCATTTGCAGAGGTAAACAGACAGGTGAGTATTTTAGGAACGAGCAGATGAACTACATCAGAACAGAGTTTTTGGTATCTCATACTTATGGGACAACAGTCAAGATTTTTAGGTGTGAAATACTCATCCAATTTCTCTGCAAGTATATGACAATGGCCAAGCTTTTAAAGCACATTTATGCAGCTGAGGGACATGAAGAACTGGCCCTAAACAGAATAGTTTACATAGTTTTGCAGGAGGCATCAGTGGGTCATAAACCAGCAACTATATTTAATACATAACCATTTTGTCAAAGAGCAGAAAAATCTGCACACAGAGCTTTGCTGACTGTAATTATTAAAAGGCCTTTGAGAGGTTTAAGGTCTGTGGGAAAGCATGCTAGGTTCCTGGAGTTCCAACACACCCAACCCAAGAAGATCTTCTGGTAGAAGGGCTGCCCTTTTAAACAATTCCATTGGAAAGCAATTCAGACAGGGTAACAGTTGTGAAAGACTGAAAATCCACAAAGAAACAGCATCTGCTTAGGGCATATGATGCTATTAAGTGTAATTCACCATTTCCTGCTGCTCCAAGAACCCCAAATGTCAACAGAGCCATACCAAGAACTGACTTCAATGTGTGCTTTGAAAACCCTGAACAGAGAAGGTGGTGGTCCCTCAAATGCAGGCAAGAATTGATGGATTTGGGTAAATTTATGTATTGGAAGCTTGTTAGATTCATTCGTGTATGTGCAGTTCTACCTAGATGATTGGTCCCCTTAGTTTCAGAGGCTCCAGCCTCACTCACAGAACCAGTCTCTAAAAGAGAAAAAATCTACCTGCCTAAGTGACCAGAGAAAAGGTAGGGTATAACAGATGCACTCCTGGTCTAACAGGGACAATGTGTTTTGCAGAAATGATGAGTGGGCTGTAATGTTAGGTACTATAGCTCTTTCTCAGAAAAATCAGTCCCTCCACTACAAACCATTAGTAACCTTTACCTGATCATGGTGAAAGGGAAGAGGGAAGACCATGGTGCAAGGTGGATTATGACCCTATAAACCATAAGTTTTAAATCACCTTAACTTTTGTAGCCCAGAGCCTTTGTGCATTCTGGCTTACAAGCAAGAATACTCATACATAATACAGTTTTGTACTTACTTATCCAGATCTATATCAAGGGCCTTATATGGATCATTGGGATCTTTGTCATCCTCATCACTGGGCAGTGCGTTCTAGGGTGAGAGAAACAGGCTACTAATTAAGGAAGTGAGCTGAGAGCACAATTTCAAGCCAGAGGTAGAACTTCCCAAACTCCACCTGAATACAGACCTCCTTGCAATCAGACGTGAGAAGTCACATGGCCTGTCAAACTTAATTTAGCACTCTGTCTTTTATCAATGAATTTACAAGGACAATGATATTCCCCATACAGCCCCAGGATTTGCATTCCCACTGTTTGCCCAATGTTACTCCAAAACAAATTTGGACTGTACAGCATGTACAGAATTAGCATGTACAATTCATTTTAGCTGCAAATCTGCTGACCGGAAAGCAAGTTATAGTCGCAGTGAAGCAACAAAATATAATAAATGAAGCAGCTATGTCACTATCATTATTTTCATGGCAGATATGGATACCATAAGTTTTACCAGTCTTCTGTTTTTCCTCTGGTTGCAGTCTTTGGCTCTCTGCATCAAAAGTTAACGATTCTCTCTCCTTTGAAAGGGCAGGTCAAAAGACTCTCTCATTAGGGATTCCATATGCTGCTGCTTAGGCAGTTTTGAAATACTCAGGAGTCTCAGGCCATGATGACCCAACTGAGGCTGACTGTGTTTTGAGACACTTGGAGGGTCACAAAACCAAGAGCAACATGTTGAGACTCCTGAGACTATTAAGCAAACAACTGACCTCTGGCATCTCCTCTGTGATGATGTCCACATGCTGGGCTGGGGCAATGTCCTCATCGCTCTCCGTGTGTAGCGAGTTATGGCGGTGGTGTTTACCTTTCTTCTCTTTTTTCTGCTTTTTCTTCTTTTTGTCTTTCTCCAACTTCTGCTTATGCCTCCGCTCCTCTTCCAGTTTTACATACTGGTCAGACATAGGCATTCCTGTAGAGAAGGGCCCAAACTGCTCTCAGGCTAGAGTCTACTCTGAGGTTAACCATCTCCATAGTCAATGGTTCAAACAAACATTTATTTTCCTCCCAACTCCTCGTCCAGACTCCCAGATGGGAAGTAGCATACTACACTTTTACTTAACCCTCCCCCCTGCAGCCTCTCAACAGAAGCTTCTCCTGCCCAACTCCTTATCCCTTTAGAAACCGGCAGACAAAATTCTCCTCTGAATCTTGCCTGAATCTTGTGGACTTAACGTGGGTTAAACATCGACACTAAATGGAAGAATGCGACTCCAAGGCTACAAGAATATAAATATTTCACAATATTTTTTTCATGTTTTGGAGAAACCCTTTACTATACCTTAGGAGAAAAAATGTCAATAGCTATAAATCTGCAAGTGAAGACACTGACTTCTGAGAGATGCATATTAAGAGATGCTCAACCACATATTACTCCTGAGCAATTATTTTTCAGATCTATAACTTATCATTAACCAGAAAGCAGCATATTAGTGTCACTACTATTGCTAAATTCTCTCAGTGTCCCCATCCACTGGTCTCTGACATCAACTTTTTGCCTTACCGTACCACAGAACTTGGTTATGTTCTGAAGATGCTTCCTAACGATATTGGTTCCTTTTCATGTTTGAATATGTATTATATTTACCTGTTAAGCTGTTTGAACTTGAGCACACTTAAAAAAAAAAGTGGGCCTCATATTCAGAATAATAGACTAACAGAGTAATTCAAACAGAGTTTTGCATTAAACGGCTGTATTTCTTAGCACACTAAAAAGTGACAACCAACATGGGAACTATGTGAGAGACTGTAAAAGCTCATGCCATAAAACAGAGGAAATGACTACTTCTGTTTAAATCATTAGCTTCAACTCCATTTTGAAACTGGTTTGATGTGCTTACCTGGAACTTTCAAGGGAACAGAAAGGTCTATTTGGACTACAGGTATATGCTCCACACCTGGAGTGTCCTGGTATCGCTGGGTAAGTGAAAGAAAAACTGTATCAGTGTTGACTTCACAGCACACCGAGTTGTTGCGCGTCAGTTCAACATTCGATTACCTACATTAACACTTTAAATATGCAGTCAGTTAACTAGTTATATTATTTAGAAACATTTCTGATGGAGATGTTCATAATGGAGATATTTCAAAATATTAAAATAAAAGTGTAATCTTTGAAGTTAGTATGTCAAAGGATAGATTAATATTCAGAGAACCTGAAAAACGGATTAGCACTCAGACACTGCTACCAACTGATCAATACTGCTCTGGACCTTCCTTCTAGCTAGTGTTCTAGCGTTATTTGTTTCAGACAAGAAAAGCACATATAACTGGTTGAAAAACATTCATGGCTTGCTACTTCTAAGGTAAACAATGAAGATCTAAGTTATCAAGGCAGTCTCAGGATGTAATGGGGATAAGGAAAGCCCTAATTCTGGGAGAGAAGAAGAATAAAAGAAAACAGTACAATAATCTCATGCTCATTTGAGGCTTTTGGACACATGGAACATTCAAGTCAGCCACTAACTAGCTGACACATCACACTGACTGTTCACACATGGTGCTCTCAGTACTTTATCTTGCCTCTGCTTTTCACTATGCTCAGTATACCAGGCAATCTGCATGGCTCCCACCTGCCAAGTGTATCTGCTGCATCAAAAACATACCATTGATCTCAACAAAATGTCCACATGGAACAGAAAATCTTGGGATATGGGAGTGAATAAATATTAAAAAAAATCATTACTGCAAAAGAAGCACAACATCTACTCACATTATTGGACCAGGGGATTCACTTGACTTTGTATTTTAAGTTCTTTGCAGCTACTTGTATATTTATTTTCTCTAGCTCTTCTTGCTATCTTAGAGCCCCGGCTGAATATTAAATACTAGGCTTTATGAGATGAATTCATAATTCATATGAGTAAGACTATACCCGACAGTCTTCTAAAAAAGGACCACAACAATTACTGTTACAATGGTTCCCAAACTTCAGGTCAACAGAAGAGTCACAGAAAGCAGAGTGGTCACACGATGCTAACTTGTTTCCAGCTTTTCAATGCAAAGAGACCTCAAAACAATGGCTAAACACAAAGAGTGCTAGTCAGTCCAACTTCCTAGAGGAGGGATCAGTGCTACAGGGAAGTAGTAAGCCATCAAGGGTTAAAAAAAGCAAAGGAGGAAGTAATCAGACAGACACACAGGCAAGGAAAAGATCATCACAGGGCCCAATAACTTGGGGAGCAAAGGACGACAGTTTTTAAAAATCAAATCAAAACATTTTCTTGCACTGAAGAGCCCCACTCCATAAATGAATTACTGCCCCAGAGGTACACCGTCATTATGGCAACTGCAGCAATGACTTCAATGCTGTTAGGTGACCATGGCCAGGGTGGAAGTGGTTAGACAGCTCCCAGGAAGATGGGATGGATCCAAAGGAGAGTATTAAGATGCAGCTACAAAATGCTGATAGCCCCTGCATTTGTTCTATTAGACAGTGAAAGTGGCTTCAAGCAAGCCAGACTTACTTTCTGTGGAGACGGAGAACTTTTAATGTAAAATGGATTGTTTGCCTGTTCTTGCTTCCGGACTTCTCGGCGCTTTAAAAAAAAAAAAAAAAAAAAAAAAAAAAAAAAAAAAAAAAAAAAAAAAAAAAAAGGTATTTGTAGTTACTGCACTGACTCAAGCTCACTCTCCACTTTATTTCCAGACACTGCAAAGTGTGATCACACAGTATATTTGGAGCGCTGAAAACAACTCACAAAAGGCTACAGGGAAATAACCGCTGATTAAACCTCTCCAGTTTTCAAGTTTCATAGTTACAAGGAAGTGTAGCAAACAGCTGTTAAGGAAATTCTACCAAATAATATCCCTCCCATCTGTTCTTCCAAGCTGGGGACGGGAGAGGTGTGGGGGGATGTGGGTGTGTGTGTGTGGGAATTCATGGGTTTCATGGAAAAATACAGGTGCAAAGCCCAACAAAAATGCCCATGTCTAACCCTGCACCCCAAATGCTATTGCAAACTGTGCATTCCCTGCCAGAAAATGCTAGGGATTGACTAACAGTAAGTAAAAACCCACACATTTACTTTAAATCATAAGTTGAGTGAGTGGCACTTGGTAAAGAACAGTCTCTGTGTTTACAGCCATCAAAACAATTGGAGAGTTTACAGGGCAAATTTTCAGAAGAGCTGTTCTCCCTGTTGGTACCAGGTTCTCAAGAGGTTTAGCTCCCACTTCAGGAATAAAGCAAGCGGAAAGAAGAGCTCTGCAAGTTGGATGCTGAGCACTTCCAAAAACCTGGTCCTACGTACTTGGCTTTCATCCCAAAGACAAAGGCAATGGGAATCAAGACAACATTGTTATCAGCATGGACCTAACAAAAATGGATTAGTCAGGTAGTTTCATAGTTGGTAGGGTTGGAAGGGACCTGAGCAGATCATCAAGTCCAACCCCCTGCTATGGGCAGGAAAGGACGCTGGGGTCAAACGACCCCAGCAAGGTGATTAGAAGCCTCCTTTTGAAGACCCCCAAGGTAGAAGTCAGCACCACTTCCCTTAGAAGTTGGTTTCAGATTCTGGGCGTCCTTATATACAAAGATTTGCATCCTTGCTCACTCTGCTTCCAACTCGGGAAGCTGTGCAAGGTACATGCCCTCAGCTGCACTAAAAAAAATTACTGCAACTACTTCAGTGATTTTGAACGTACCATTATATTAGTAGTATGTGCATATCAACATTTACTTACCCTGGCAAGCTCCTCTTCATCCATCTCTGGCTGTCTGGGTCTAGAATGCCTTTGTTCTTCATCATGAAAGATTGTTTTGGGTTTTTCATCTTCAGACTCACTATCTGAGGGAGGCTCATTGATCCAAGCATCAAGATCCAAGCTAGGAAGAATGGCAACAGATGGATTTACTTACTTACATACAGCTTAATTCCGTTTCTCCATGCATGTACATATATGTAGGATTTCTCGCTACAGAACCAGTACTTATGCATTTAAAGCAATGTTGTAAGGATAAAAGCTCTTACCCTTCTGGAACCGGGACTTTTTTCTGTGCTTTAGGAGCTACAGGGTTCAGCTCGCCTGCAAACAGTGCTATCACTTCCTCAGCTACAGGCACCTCTTTTGCTTGTAGCTTCTGAATATATTTAATCAGTTGCAAGATGCAGGAGGCCTGAAAGCCAAATATAAAAACAAGTTAAAAAACAGTGTCGATGCACCGACTGTTGCTGAATAAGAACCCTGTCTAAACAACCACAGTAAGATGAAGCACTTTGTTAACTGTGCAGATCCTGGCAATGGGGGATTAAGGAAGGTGGGATTTCTCTCTCAGCAATCTCCAACCTTGGGCATATAAACTCCCAAATCTGTGCCTGCTTCCCATCTGTAACATATGGATAATCCCTATCAAGTATGATGGAATCAGAAAATTAGGGTTGAAAGGGACCCTCAGGAGGTCACCCCCTGCTCAGAACAGGACCATCCCCAACTAGATCATTCTCACAAAACATTCAGATTCCCTCAGATCCTAAAATGAAGTATATTATAGGTTGAATTTTCAGAAGTGTTTAATGAAGCTGGGAGAACAAGCCACGCTAAAAGCAGAAGATGAGCTACATGAACAAAATATCGTTGATGCCTGAAGATGACATGCATCACACACAATTCAGAATTAGTGTTCCTCTAAATCAGCGGTACCCAACCTAGGGTCATGACCTAAATCAGGGTCATGCGGGGTCCTCAGGAGGATTCAAGAACACTTTTAGGTTCACCGCTGAGTGTGGCGCAGGACCCCCCCCAACAACAAAAAGGTTGGGAACCACTGCTCTGAATAGTGAGCCTCTTCCCATTAGGAATGCTCATACAGGGAATGTCCCAATGATATGCATGTTCTGTTTCTTCATCTCCACAAATAGAGGCAAATTAAATACCAGATATGCAAAACAGGTAACCAAGTTCAGCTACAAAGGATCCTACACTGATTTTTTCAAGAAAGTGCTCAGGATGCATGAGAAAAGTCAGTCACTTGGGGCTTCCAATTTAAAGAAAGTTAGAATGTAAAGGAAGATAGTCTCATGGAAAAAAAACACTGACTGACTTGTGTATGCATTATTTAAATTTCCTAAGAATGTAAAAATCAAAATAAGGACCCATGTTCCTGCGTAACTACTTTATTCCTCCAGCTTATCATGGTGTTAATGATTCAAGATGAGTAGCCTTACAACGGTTGAGGCCTAAGGAAAGGTATTGCGATATTCAAAAGCTTGCCTATGTCTATACCAACCATACAATTGGTCCAATAAAAGATAAGAAGTCTTGCCTAGCCTTACAACAGCCAGTCTGTACTTCATAGCACAGTGAATCAAGCCATTGCACAATACTTCACAACAGGGGCAGAAATGAAACATCACCCCCTTTACAAATAGGGAAACTGGCATTAACAAACAGGGAAACTTGATAGTAACTTGAAGTTACTGTGGAAGTAGGAAAGTTACTTATCCTGTCTTTGCTGCTGGCAGCAAGTCAATGGAAGATACAAGAAAAGAACTTGCTTTATGATTCAGGCGCTGCTCTAAAATCCAAGCGTGCTAATCATTAAATGTAAATGCCTGTGTGTACCTTCTCAAAAATGTGGTTTTGTATGCATTTCCCAGAGACAAACATTTGTAAAACCATACAGGCATGTCTATATGGGGCTTTTAGTACATTTTTTTTTTTTTTAACATTGCCTTACTTTTCTTACTCTGATGTAATATTCAGCTGCCAAAATTAGACTGCACAGGTTCAAAGTCAGGAAGTTTTAAACATATTTCGTTATGGACATCAAATTCTTTGCTTTCATTACTGCGCTGCATTACTATAACTATGCTTGCCATTTTTATTTTATATTACGTGTACCAAAATCAACTAAAAGCTTTAAAGGTTTAAGTGAACAGAGAAGTGAGAGTAATATATGGTTCTAGCTTTCCAGTTCTAATATCATGTCTCCTGCTCCCACCTTAGTGACCTTTCATTCCCTTCATTTTCTGCACCCCCATAACTTTTTTTTTCTGATTCAGCTGGGAATGCTTATGTTATTTTAGAGTGCTCATTCTATTCCCCTGAGAACCCATTTCAAACATCAAATTTTATACTCATTCTTTGCATCACTTGCTAATACATAACACTTGACAGTCACCTTGAATAATTTTGAATTACCTCTTGTGGGAAAAAAAAAGTTTTACTCCAAAAGGTGATGAATTACATGGTATGGTGCAGCGCAGTAATGAAAGCAAAGAATTTGATGCTGCTTTATGTGCAAGTATGAATATAGCATTTACAGATTCAAACCTCACAATCACATGCCAGTAACTGCATACTTATTTATATATTTGGTGTAATGATTAAGGCACAGGACTGGGTGTCAACTTTGTGCTCCATCATGATCTTGCCTTGCAAGTGATGCTGGGAAAATTACTCAAACTGCTTCTCACTTTCTACATTGCTGAGGCATGCAAGGTGCAGGATGCAAACAGGATCCTTTGATAAGACATTTTAAGGGAGGTTATTTTGGGGGTTATTTCTGCAGTGTGTGCATCACACAAACACTGGCTGCATCTACACAAGATGACAACTGCGCAGCAGCATCACATGGCAGAAAGCATGACATGACGCTACTGTGCAGTAATCTCGGGCTACTGTGCAGTCAGGGTCACAAAAACAGCTGTTTGGCAGTGCTAATAAACAGTAACTCCGATTACTCCGCAGTCATTTAGTACTTGACTATGCAAGTACTAAATGATTACATAAGAATGACTGAACAATCAGCATCTCTTGTAGATGCAACCAGACAGCAGAAATAATTAGTATTAGTATCAGAGGCTTGAAGTACAACCGATTTAGGGAAGGTATTCTTCTCTTACCCTTTCCTGGACTTCTAGATCTGCACTCTGTACAAACTGAGGCAAACGGTCAATCATCAGCTGGGTAATTTCCTGGGATGATTCCTTCTCACCAGCTTGCTCTTTTTGCTGTAGGATGGATGCATAAAGCTTTACCATGTTCTGCACATAAACTGCCTGGATGTGACCTGGTAAAGTGGTAACTTTAGGCCTCAGCATTGCTTCCAGGGTCTGGTTTGGTTCCTCAAGGTGTCTAGAAGATTGATGGAAGAAAATGGAAGAGAAGTCAATTTAGGAAGCCTGATGTGTTACTGAGTTTCACATGTCACAATACAAATTATTTAGGTATTATGCGCGGGCCTCTCACCACCCCTCAGTCTTGGTCTAACTTTGCTCCAAAGCCAAAGAATGTTCTTGTTTCAATTTCCATGGCCACCTTCCTAGCCAGAAAGTCTAGAAACGTTGGGTAAAAATCCTATCCTCATTGAAAATCATTGGGATTATTACCATGGGCTTCAATGAGGACAGGATTTCGTCCTTTGTTCTTAAATCCTGAGAAAAATACAGAGGTGCACAAGAAATTATTCTTATCAACTGTTTTTATGATATTAAGATTTCCCTGTTCTGTAAATTCCCCTCAATTCTGTTTTGACTGATTGCGTTTAATTCATTCTAGTTTTGATACGTACTATAACATAGATTTTTGAAGATGAGCAATACAGAAAATAGCACAGCAATAATGCATCTGTAGAAGTACAAAACACATACTTGGACTGTACAAATTTTTACTATACCACAGTGTGGTAGGCATTAATACAGCCCCATTTGGCAAAGCAACACTTTGGGTTTCCATGCTTACTGTCTCCATGATCTTCCTATTAAAATATCCTCAAGTTACAAGCTTTTATTTTTTATATAATTTAATCTAGAATTTAAATAGTCAAATGAGATTCCTTCCATCTTCTGTATTGCCAAGAACGAAAGTTCAGTTACACTTCTGCATGGCTCTGAAACGGACTGGAACTAGGCAAATGAAACAGTTGAAGCACAAGCAGTAATAAAATACAAGTTGCACTCTGCCAGTCTTTGTGGTTTTAATCTTCTCATTTTTCCCCACTTACAAAGCTCTTTTCCACTACTGGTTTAAAGCTACACAATGAGGAAACTAGCCAATTACATACACAAAATGCTGTCAAATGCAGAAAGCAAATCAACTGAAGAGGGAACTATGTTCTCGCCTCTTATATTCCTGAGATTTAAATTGAGTTTTCATTTCAAAGCATATCAAGTTATTGGAGGGACTGTACTTGCTGCCTCTGCTACACAATTTGAAACTGGAGAAAAAGCAAAGAGACCTACACCAGGATGATCGGGGGAAAGAAAAGTCAGTCTTATTTAGCCTAGCAAAACAAAGGTTGAGAAGGGATGCGGCTGTCTTTTATGTATACACATCTAGGGGTTTAGCACCAAGGAGAGAGAAGGTCTATCTAAGATAAAGGACAATACTGGCAAAAGAACACTTGGGTAGGAACCAGCCACGAGTAAGTTTAACTGAAACTCAAAAAGTTTCTGACCCTAACAGGAGTGAGGCTCTGTAACAAGCTTCCAAGAAGAGCAAGCTAACTACTTTTAAGATGGAGCCAGATCAGTTAATGAAGACATGTGTTTGATATGGTTACCTGTGACAGCAGAGGAGTAGACTCAGTGACACAGGAGATCCCTTCCAGTCCTATGGTTTGCACTCCTAAGCCTTAGGAACACACTATTCCTTACTCCCTGAGATTATATATATATATATATATGCCGATGCAAGAGTAGCCCAAACAGTTCCCATTTTGGCTTGAAACAGCTGAATTAGTCTGATGGGAAAGACAGAGGTCACTTAAAAAATACCATTTACACTTACTCTGAAAACTCCCCACATATCCAGGCAGCAGCATAAAGCACCTCACAGATCCCATTCCTCTGGGTGTTGCTGGCTATTAGATGGGCATTGTCTAGAAGCATGGCCATCTGGGAAACCGCAAATTTACGAATAGCTTTAACTCTGATCGCTACATCCAGCATCTGAGCTGCTATGAGATGACCATGTCGAGTACCTTCCAAACGAGTCAATTCTACCAGGATGCTGATGTACCTACAGGAGGTGGAAGTGAAACATTCTTAATAGCAGGAAAGCAAGGAGCACCACCACTGCTTCTTTCAAAGTGAACAGGTAAAAGCACTGACCATTCAAAGTTTGTGATGTACTGATAATTGGATTGGCTACATATATCTATGATTTTGGTCAGCAACTCGTCCCTGTATGTTGTCCCTTCAGCTTTATCCACGTGAATCATCAATTTCTTCACTATCTCCATCAAGTTCTTCTTTGATACCTGTTCAAGAGAGTTAGAAAGATGAGACAAAAAGCCTTTACAACATGCTTCCTGCCAATTTAGTTCCATCTCACAGATGCACCTGCTATTAGATGCACCTATGACTGCTTCTGGGTAAGCCAGATATTGGAACACAGGAGGCAGAAATAAGTCTAGACCAGGACTGCTGTACAATTCACCTGCAGCCTGGGACAGTTTCTTGTTGAACTAGCTGAACCTCGTCTTGAGTGCATTTGTTCCAGTCAAATGGCTAAACGAATACTTCTGACTGCTTTCTTGACTTAGCACAAACTTATCAGCCCAGCATGCATTTTAATGAGACCTGACAACTAAATTCAGAATTATTCCCTACTTGCAAGGATGATAGTGATAAAATCTGGCTTCTGCTATGCAACCCAAGTATGAAGCTAGCTGCACTATTTCAAATATGTGCCTTAATTTTCAGTACTTTCCCCAGTAACCAGTCATTCTGATCTCCTCTCAAAATGCAGCACAGTCGAAGGAGAAACTCTATAGAGACCCCTTCTGGCCTCATAGCTCTGCTCCATGCATGCACGCAGAGTTGTGCTGAAGGAAAAATAAAAGCATGTTATTACCTTCCACTCTTATTATTAATGCATCACCACCACAGTTCTGCACGGGCAAACTGTGGTAAAGCTCAGAACCAGTACTATCGGCCATAATAAAGAAACCTACAAGAATACAGTTTAATTTTCAGCTCACGATTGGAGCCTGCCATGTAGCCAACTTGAAAACCCTGAGCTGATTTGAGAGTCATTAACATATACACTCCACAGGCCCCTGGCAGATATTAAAAAACCGGCATGATTTGGATCCGAGGAATGTTATGTTCTGTCCCCAAAACTGTATGCCCTGCGTATGACAGGACAACAAACTATGTTTGGAACAGGGCATATAATCCTCAGAATTAAAATTAGGCAACTGCTAGGGCTGAACCAGCCAAACCAGGACTTGCAGCTGCTTCCAACCTGATCCCAAAAATTGTTTAGGGAAGTGGTATTCAACCTTTTTTTCCCCATTTGCAGACCCCTAAACAATTCTGAATAGAGGTGCTGACTCCTCTGGAAACTTTGAATTCAAAGTGGGGATAGTCATGTACTTTTCATTGATCAAAGTCATCTCTTGCGGACACCTTAGACTGTCTGCAGACCCCCCAGGGGTCTGTGGAACACAAGTTGAAAACCACTGCTTCACGGGGGTGGGGCACCCTGCGTGCTGAACCCAAACTGTCCCGTGGCCCACTGTAGTGCTCAGCTAAGAGATGGGATGGGAGCATGGAGCAGTCGGGTCTGGGACACATGCTATGTTCAATTTAAGGCATGATACAAACCAATCACAATGATGTTCCACATTAAGTGTGATTTGCTGTTTTGTCACATCATAGATCAGCTGAACAAGGCATGTTACAATGCAATTAACAGAACTGGACCATAAATATAATGTCTGCCAAGGCCCATGGTGTCAGTTTATAAGTCACTTTTCAGAGCGTACCTTGGAACACACTGACCTCCTGAGAGTTCTGTAAAGCACAGTGACCACATTGTCTCAAGCTAATCTTATATCCTATGTTTTGTTAGTAAGTAGATGGAAAGATCTCCAAGGAAGTTTAGGCAATATGGAAATGCTGCTAGAAATCAGAATATAGCACAGTTCCTTTTAAGGCAGCATTCCAGGAGGATGCTATACATCACTGTCTGATGAACCAACTTTTGCATAGTGTGTGAAAACAGATTTTCACATCCTGTAATCAAGATTAATACCTGCTGCATTTTTCAGAAAAAAGAAATATTTAAAATCCTATAACATTTTGTTGAGTTCATTACTTTTAGTTTGGTTTGTTATTGCAGGGTTAGCAGTATAATTCTAAATTACCAGGAAAAAAAAAACAACCAACTTTGATACAACAGTCTTTATTTTCAGCTCCTCAAGCTTTTCAATGTTGAGGAATGATAAAATCTGCCATGCAACATCCCACATGGATGAGTTTTAGGGAGTTGAGGCTTTTCAGTGAAAGACCTTTTATATACCAAGTCATAATTATAGCCCCCTCAAAGATCAAGAAGATTCTGTCCATAAAGCTGCTTAGCATACATGGCATTATTAAAGTTTTCTTGGACAGCAGCCACACAAAACGCACACAGGCAAACACCCAAGG